AATGTACTGACACAGCTAGTCTTTGTTTTGGTTTCATTAAAGAAGCATGTCAATGAGGTGGTCGCTGATAAAGATGGGGAATGTACTACTGTGTATGTTTATCTTATTGATTATTAAATAAAATACTGTTTGGCCAATGAGACAGAAAGTTAGACGGAAGTAGGAGTGAAAGAGGATTCTGGGAAATGTAGTAGAGAAGCTGAACCAGGCAGGAAGTGACATAACAAGGAGACTCATATTTAAGCGAAAGAGAAACAGGAAGGGCTCTGTTTTCCCCTCGGCTCCTGCTTCAGCAGCATGATGTGATCACTAGCTAGGAGGGATGCCAATAAGGTGTCCAATAAGATAAATCTTATAAAATATATAGATGTATGATAATTGAGACTGAGCTAACAGATGAGAATCCTAGTCATTGGCCAAGCATCATTGTATCTAATACAAGTCTCTCTGTGTATTCATTTGGGCCTAACTTGGGCAGGCGGCTGTCGTAAAGCTCACACGTGGCAATGGGGCTCAGGCAGCTTTTGGTGGAAAGATTTTTATCATAACAGATGTGGTCAAGCATGGTGCATTGTAGGGCTCATCTTGAATCAGCGTCACATAATTCTCAGACATCCTTTGCTTTGGAAAAGTTGACAAAGGCACTATTGTATTATGAGGAGGAGACAGTCAAAGGGACACTCAGATTGAATATTTCTGAGTAAGTCCCTAGGCTGATCTTCTCTATCATCTTAGCCCCAAGGCAGCTTCCTGCTCCTCCAGGGTTTCTGACACTCTCAGGATGTGTTTGCAACACTGTGTTGTCTGGCACAGTAATAGACTGCAGAGTCCTCAGATGTCATTCTGTTGAGCTCCATGTAGGCTGTGCTGGAGGATGTGTCTGCAGTCAGTGTGGCCTTGTGCTGGAAATTCTGATTGTAGCTATTACCACTATTTCCAGGGTCAATCCATCCAATCAACTCCAGACCCTGTCTAGGCTTCTGTTTCACCCAGCTCATATAGTGGCTGGTGAAGGTGTAGCCTGAAGCCTTGCAGGACGGCTTCACTGAGGCTCCAGGCTTCACCAGCTCAGCCACAGTCTGCTGCAGCTTGACCTGGGAGTGGACACCTGTGGAGAGAAAGGCAGAGTGGATGTCACTGTCACCTGAGAACATGGGCCCTCCTCAAGTCTGGAACTCGGAGCCCTTACCTGTAGCTGCTGTCACCAGGAAGACAATGATCCAGCTCCATCCCATGGTGAGGCCCTGTGTGCTCAGTGACTGTGGAGAGGACACTGATCATGTGTAGTTGGTGGTGTGGACATCCCTGTATTTACATTCATAGACTCACATGGTTTGCATATTCATGAGCAGGGTACTTTGTAGATAAGAACCCAGTCCAGCTGGAGAAGAAGGA